AGAGATATACAACTGTTCTCATTTGGAAACCAGGCACCTCTTCCTCAGGAAGAACAAAACCCTCTAACTAAAGAAATAAAAGAATTGAAACAAAGAATAACTGAGCATCTAGAACAGCACAAAAACAACAGAATAAGGCTACCTGCATTGAAGCTTGTTCCAAAGAAACAGCTAGCACAAGCATTAAAAGATGCAAATATTGCAATATCAAGTATAAGCACCAATTCATTGCAAGAAACAAACCAACTAATGTACAGCACAGCTGCAGTTATAACAGAATACCTGGGATGCAAAATCAACAAAGAAGAAAAACAAACAAACAGTGCACCAGAAAAATGGAAGGTTAGACTAGAAAATAAGATCAGCAAGTTAAGATCACATGCAAGCAAGCTAGAACAGATGAAAGAAAAGAAGCTGAAGAACAAGAAGACCAAAGAATACCTAATCAAGAAATACCACTTAGAAACAAGGAAGATCAAGGAAGCACTGGAAATAATAAAGCAACAAATAACAGCTATAGCCAGGAAAATCAGTAGATATGAAGCTCGAATTGCAAACTATAGGCAGAACCTCCAATTTCAATCCAATCAGAAACGTTTCTACCAATCCATCAATGGAGAAACTGCAAGGAATCAGTCAGTACCTGACAAGGAAGAAACAGTGCAGTTCTGGAAGCAGATATGGGATAACCCAAAGAAATACAACAAGGATGTGGCTTGGTTAAAAGAGGTGGATGCAAATAAAACAGAAGTTGAAATGAAAGAACTAGTAATAACAACAAAAATGGTAGAAAAAAGAGCAAAGAAAATCAAAAATTGGTCAGCACCAGGTGAAGATGAACTGCATGGGTTTTGGTTGAAACATCTAACTGTTATACACCCACTCATTGCCAAACAGTTCAACAATATACTACAAGGAGGAGAAATTGAAAAGTGGCTAACAACTGGGAAAACCTACCTAATAATGAAAAATCCAGCAAAAGGGGCAACACCAGGTAACTACAGGCCAATTACCTGCTTACCAACAACTTTCAAATTACTAACTGGTGTGGTAGCTGATGCAGTACAACAGCATCTAGTTGAAAACAATCTCTTTCCACCTGAGCAGAAAGGAAACCGCCCCAATAGCAGAGGAACAAAAGATCAACTCCTAATAGACAAAATGATCTTGGAAAACTGCAAGAGAAGGAAGACCAACCTGAATGTGGCATGGATTGACTACAAAAAGGCATTTGACTCTCTGCCACATGATTGGATAATAAAGTGCCTAGAAATAACAGGAGTCAGTAGAAACATCAGAAAATTTGTGCAAAGATCGATGGCACAATGGAAGACACAGTTGCAGATCAATGGTGAGAGGCTGGGAGAGGTTAATATCAAGAGAGGAATATTTCAAGGAGATTCATTATCACCATTACTATTTGTTATTGCACTGTTTCCTCTGTCAACAATACTGAATAACTCAGGACATGGCTATCAAACATCAAAAACATCTGCCAGACTATCCCACCTCCTTTATATGGATGATCTGAAGCTGTATGGAAAAACATCATCTGAAATAGAATCGCTGCTCAACACTGTCCGTATATATAGCCAAGATATTGTAATGGAGTTTGGCTTGGACAAATGTGCCACACTTACTATCAAACAAGGAAAAATAGTGAAAACTGAAGGAATCAAGATGCCCCACGAAAATAACATTAAGAGTCTGGATGAGGAAGAGTACTACAAATACTTGGGTATCCTTCAAGCTGACAACATCAAGCACACTGAAGTCAAGAAAAAGATTAGAGGTGAATACATCAAGAGAGTGAAGAAGATCTTAAATCCAAACTCAATGGAGGAAATACCATAAAGGCAATCAACACCTGGGCAATCCCAGTCATTAGGTACACAGCTGGAATAGTGGACTGGACTCAAGCAGAACTAAAAGCAATGGATAGGAAGACCAGAAAAATAATGACAATGAATCATGCCCTTCATCCACGCAGTGACATTGATAGACTTTATCTACCAAGGCAAATAGGTGGGCGTGGAATGCTACAAGTACATCAGATGGTTGAAGAAGAAAAAATGGCTTTGGAAGAATATCTGAAGAACAATGATGAAGATGCACTGAAATTAGTATATCAGGAAGGCTTACTAACTACTGGAGAGACCAAACTGGCCTACAAGAAAGACCAAATGAAGAACAGAATAGAGGCATGGGAAGACAAAGCACTACATGGCCAATACATGAAAAAAATAGCTGGGAAAGCAGATAACAATAAAACCTGGCAATGGCTAAGAGCAGGAAAATTGAAGAAAGAGACCGAGGGACTAATTCTGGCTGCACAAGACCAAGCCTTAAGGACAAATGCATACAAAGTCAAAATTGAGAAGACAGCAACAGACAGTAAGTGCCGCCTATGCAAAGAAGCTGAAGAAACAGTGGACCACTTGGTAAGCTGTTGCAAGAAGATTGCACAAACTGATTACAAGCAGCGGCATGACAAAGTAGCAACAATGGTGCATTGGAAGATCTGCAAAAAATATCATTTGCCTGTAAGCAAAAACTGGTGGGATCATAAAATAGAGAAAGTCATAGAAAATGATAAAATTAAACTGCTCTGGGACTTCAGAATTCAAACAGACAAGCACCTGCAACATAACACCCCAGACTTAACAATTGTCGATAAGAAAGACAAAAAAGTCTGGATAGTGGACGTGGCAGTGCCTGGAGATAGCAGAATAGAAGAGAAAGAACTGGAGAAGATAACAAAATACAAAGACCTACAAATAGAAATAGAAAGACTGTGGCAAAAGCAAGCAAGGGTAGTACCAATAGTCATAGGCTCCTTGGGTGCAATCCCAAAACAACTGGAGCACCACTTGAACACCATTGGCATTGACAAATTCGCTATTAGTCAATTGCAAAAGGCAGCCTTACTAGGAACTGCTTCCATCCTGCGACGATATCTGTAATACCATCAAACATCCACATCTGCCTATCCCAGGTCCTGGGTAAGGACTCGATAGGTAGACAAAATGCCAAATCCAGTCTGAACATCTGGCTGACTGTGCGATGATCGTAATAATAATAATAATAATAATAATAATAATAATAATAATAATAATAATAATAATAATAATAATAATAATAATAATGTTGGAAGGGACCTTGTAGGTCATCTAGTCCAACCCCCTGCTCAGGCAGGAAACCCTATACCATTTTAGACAAATGGCTGTCCAGTCTCTTCTTAAAAACTTCCAGTGTTGGAGCATTCACCCGTTCTGGAGGCAGGTGGTTCCACTGGTTAATTGTTCTAAATGTCAGGAAGTTTCTCCTTAGTTCTAGGTTGCTTCTCTCCTTGATAATTTTCCACCCGTTGCTTCTTGTCCTGCCTTCAGGCGCTTTGGAGGATAGCTTGACTCCCTCTTCTTTGGGGCAGCCCCTGAGATATTGGAACACTGCTATCCTGTCCCCCCCGTCCTTCTCTTCATTAGACTAGACATCCCCAATTCCAGCAGCCGTTCCTTGTATGTTTTAGCCTCCAGTCCCCTAATCATCTTTGTTGCTCTTTTCTGCACAGTTTCTAGAGTCTCAACATCTTTTTTACATCGTGGTGACCAAAACTGGATGCCGTATTCCAAGTGTGGCCTTACCAAGGCCTTGTAAAGTGGTATTAACACTTCATGTGATCTTGATTCTCTCCCTCTGTTAATGCAGCCTAGCACCGTGTTGGCTTTTTTGGCAGCTGCAGCCCACGGCTGGCTCCTATTTAAGGGACCGTCCACCATGATTCTGAGATCCCTCTCACAGTTACTACTATTGAGCAAGGTACCCCCTATACTTCCATCTACTACACTAAGTGAATCACACGGTTGTTAAATGTTAACCTTTCTCCGTGGATTTTGTTTGTCGGAATCCGACTGGGAAGGTTGCAAAGAGGGATCACATCACGCACACACACACGCACACATACAGAGGATGCTGCAACCATTGTAAATCCATGCTGGTTGTCAAGCACCCAAGTATTGAACTGCGTCATAGGAGGATCCTATGACGGTCATAAGAGTGAGGACCGGTTGTAAGTACCTTTTTTTGGCACCGTCGTAACTTTGGATGGATGCTAAGCAAATAGCTGTAAGTCAAGGACTACTTAAGAGAGTTTTAATTGGACAGAAGTTAAGCTTAGGTGACCAGGAAATAGTCCTTTTATCATCAAATAAAAGATGACCAACTGGGCGCATAATTTTCATCCTGCGCCACAAACACCCCACCACTTTACAAGGCCTTGGTAAGGCCACACTTGGAATGCTGCATCCAGTTTTGGTCACCACGATGTAAAAAAGATGTTGAGACTCTAGAAAGGGTGCAAAGAAGAGCAACAAAGAGGATCAGGGGACTGGAGGCTAAAACATATAAGGAACGGCTGCTGGAATTGGGTATGTCTAGTTTAACGAAGAGAAGGACAAGTGGGGACATGATAGCAGTCTTCTAGTATCTCAGGGGCTGCCCCAGAGAAGAGGGAGTCAAGCTATTCTCCAAAGCGCCTGACGGCAAGACAAGAAGCAACAGATGGAAACTCATCAAGGAGAGAAGCAATCTAGAACTAAGGAGAAACTTCCTGGCAGTGAGAACAATTAACCAGTGGAACCACCTGCCTCCAGAAGTGGTAAATGCTCCAACACTGGAAGTTTTTAAGAAGAGACTGGACAGCCATTTGTCTGAAATGGCATAGGACAGTGGTGGCGAACCTATGGCACGGGTGCCAGAGGCGGCACTCAGAGCCCTCTCTGTGGGCACGCACACCGTCGCCCCAGTCCTAGGCCTTTAGCTGGGTTTTATAAAACCTTTTTGCTTTAAGCCTCCGCTGCCATGTGCAAAAAAAATATAAAAAAGAGGTTAAATCAATCAATCAATTTCAACTTTTCAGAGAAAAAAAGATCTCGCAAAGTTGGAATTGATTGATTGAACTTTTTAGTCCCACCCAGTCTGCCGTTACCACCGCAGCCACGCCCAGCCAATGGGCCACGCCCAGCCAATGGGCCACATCCAGCCAACGGGCCACACCCACCTGGCACCCGACAATACATAACGCAAAGTTGGAATTGATTGATTGAACTTTTTAGTCCCACCCAGTCTGCTTTTACCACTGCAGCCACGCCCACCCAATGGACCACGCCCACCCAATGGGCCACACCCACCCAATGGGCCACACCCACCCAACGGGCCACACCCACCTGGCACCCGACAATACATAACGCAAAGTTGGAATTGATTGATTGAACTTTTTAGTCCCACCCAGTCTGCTTTTACCACTGCAGCCACGCCCACCCAATGGACCACGCCCACCCAATGGACCACGCCCACCCAATGGGCCACACCCACCCAATGGGCCACACCCACCCAACGGGCCACACCCACCCGGCACCCGACAATACATAAGTGGGTTTTGGGTTGCAGTTTGGGCACTCGCGTCTCTAAAAGGTTTGCCATCACTGGTATAGGGTTTCTTACCTGAGCAGGGGGTTGGACTAGATGACCGCCAAGGTCCCTTCCAACATTATTATTATTATTATTGTTGTTATTGTTATAACTTCATGGAAGGAAAAATATTGTGGTGCTTCTGAAATAGACTCACCTTGTCGCTCTTCTTCTGCCCGGGATAAGGCTGGACTTTGTCCCAGGTGACCTTGAGCAACCACCGAGCTTTATAGGAAGACCTGATGTATCGGCGAATCTTTGCTTCCACGTCTTGGACAAGCGGGTGCCTGGCAGAATTCCCGCAAGGATATTCCTGCGCACAACAGGAGAGCAGGTTGCAAGTGGGGAACCAAAGGAACATGTAGGCCATTGGCGCAGAAGACCAACAGAGACCTCCCGAACGGTGGGCTCCCTGGTGCTCTCTGAGCTTGGTTGATTTTTTTGTAGATGTTTCATGACGGAACTAGGTGACATCATCCGGGCTAGATGGGAGGGGGAGGGGGGAGGGGAGGGGGGAGGAGGAGGAGGAGGAATAGGGCTTGGGGTCCTTAGTGTTCTCTGAGCTTAGTTGTCTTCTGCAGATGTTTCATGACCCAACTAGGTAACATCATCAATGCTAGAAGGGAGGAGGAGGAGGAGGAGGAGGAGGAGGAGGAGGAGGAGGAGGAGGAGGAGGAGGAGGAGGAGGAGGAGGAGGAGAACTGTTGAGTTCGTGGCACTTTTTGAGCTTGCTTGTTTTCCCGCAGACATTTCTTTACCGGACTATGTAACGTCATCAGTGCTGCAAAGCTGAGTGCTAACTCTACTCCCTTATAGCACTGATGATGTTACCTAGTTGGGCAATGAAACGTCTGCAGGAAAACAACCAAGCTCAGAGAGCACCAAGGACCCTAGTCTTTTCCCTTTTTTCCTCCTCCTCCTCCTCCCCACTCCGCAAACTTCATTCCTTCTAGCACTGATGATGCTCCCTAGTTGGGTAATGAAACATCTGCAAGAAAACAAGCAAGCTCAGAGAGCACCAAAGACCCCACACTTCTCCTCCTCGCCATAAACCCTTCTAGCACTGATGATGTTACTTAGTTGGGTAATGAAATGTCTGCAAGAAAACCACCAAGTTCAGAGAGCATCAAGGACCCCACAGTCTTCCTCCTCCTCCTCCTCCTCCTCCTCCTCCTCCTCCTCCTCCTCCTCCACAGACCCCATTCCCTGGCTGGGGAATTCTGGGAGTTGACGTCCACCTCTCTTAAAGGTGCCAACCTTGATAACTCATGGATCCACTTGACTAATGTTGCTTCTTAGATCCCCACGAGGTAAAACAATTGAAACTTACCTGGTAGAAGATGACGCCAGACCCTTTGGAGAAATCGGCGTTGTCCCAAAACACAGCCACCATTGGCACTTTCTCACGACCATTAAAACCACCAGGAGGGGGATTGGGATAGCTGGAAATATCTCTGTCAGAGGCTGGGAAGATGATCTGCCCATTATCCGTGAACTAAAGGAAGGCACAAAAAAGATGGTAGTCAACCGGACAAGAGATTTTGCTTTTCAAAATAAAGGCTAACCAGAATATTATGTCTTGGTATGAAAAGGGAAATAAGAATATGTTAAGAACTTTGAATAAAGGATTTGTTTTGGTTGCCCAAATGCAACTTGTTTTGAAATTAGAAACAATTGGGACACTTTGAAACATGGATGGGAAATTAAAATTATATATATAAAATCGGGCTGAGGAATTCTGGGTGTTGAAGTCCACAAGTCATATTGATTGGAACTGGATCCTGATTCCTCATGCCTGACACACACACACACACACACACACACACCCCATACAGAACACATACAGAACACTGACACTGACACACACACCCTAAACTCCGCTGAAGATGTTACCTGCCAAGCTCGGAGAACGCACCTTCGCCCTTATACACACCCCAGTTCATCTCCAATCCCTGATTACTCACGTAAAGAGAGTCGTGTAGCGTGTTTCCAAGTGGGATCCCGATCTCGGGCTTGAACAGGGGCGAGTTAAAGTCCACTTTCCTTTCGACGTACCGCTTGTCGTTGACGCCGTCTCCGTACGGATAGAGGGAGACTGCTGCATTGGAACAACACAAGGACAAAAGTTGAGGTCACTCTGAGGATAACGGTTTTTATTCAGCCGTTTTGGACTTTCAGTCCCGGGTGGATCACGGTTTAAATGGAAACAAGGAATGTGGAGAACACGGATGGATATTAAGGTGTGGAAGCCTGTCATGATTATAATCATAGTCACGTTCACTCCCGTTTAACCATTTTTTGTGTCCACCGTTTTTGGAGACAAGGACAGTAATATTGAACGGTCACTAAATGAATGGTTATAAATTGAGGACTCCCTGTTATTGCTGCTAAAATGTGACTGGACTAGAAGATCTCCAAGGTCTCTTCCAGCTTTATTTTACCCTATCCTGTCCTATCCTTTCCTATCCTATCCTATCCTATCCTATCCTATCCTATTCATTCTCTATTCTATTCTATTCTCAATAAATATTCTATTCTATTCTGTTCTATTCTATTCATTCTCTATTCTATTCTCAATAAATATTCTATTCCATTCTGTTCTATTTTGTTCTGTTCTGTTCTATTCTATTCTATTCTCAATAAATATTCTGTTTTATTCTATTCTCAATAAATATTCTATTCTATTCTATTCTATTCTATTCTATTCTATTCTATTCTATTCTCCATTGCATCTACTCTTCTCTACTCTACTCTACTCTATTCTATTCAATTCTAATATTATTCTATTCTATTCTATTCTATTCTATTCTATTCTATTCTATTCTATTCTATTCTATTCTATTCTCAATAAATATTCTATTCTATTCTATTCATTCTCTATTCTATTCTATTCTATTCTATTATTTCTATTCTATTCTATTCTAGTTCTGTTCTGTTCTGTTCTAGATTGCAGTCGCCATCTTGACTTTTTTGACCCCCTCCCCCCACATGGATGCCTTCACTGGATGCATAATCTTGTATCCCAGGGGTGGACCCAAGTATGGACCCCTTTAAGACCTGTGGACTTCAACTCTCAGAATTCCTGAGCCAGCCACGCAGACTCTGAGTCACGCTGGCTCAGGAATTCTGGGAGTTGAAGTCCACCGGCCGTACCAGGGCCCTAATTGCTCACCCCTGCTGTTATCCTGGAAGACGGTCCATCTACCAGTGTGTGTGTGGGGGGGGGGAAATGTGTTTTTTCGCCAACCCACCTGATGGTGCACCAGTAATGATGGCAGAATTTTTATCCGGTCTGGTTTTGGATTTCTTCAGATTGGACTTCTTCCTTGCAGATTTGCTGGTGGATTCTGTGGATTTTAGTAGGCCCACTCCTGATAAGGCAAGACGGACGCCCGGTTCACGCTCGTCCGGTTGGGTTTTGCTTAAGTCAAGAGCCACCTTACCTTTAATTAAAGTCTGGTGCTCTTCGGAAGAGCTAGGGACACTTGTAGAGTCCCCATCCTTCTCCTCTGAAGCAGAAGAGCTCTCTGAAGATGCAGAATTCTGCTGCCCAGGAAGGGAGTGTTCAGAGTTTGCTAGGACACCAGAGTTGAAGGACAGAAGAGGAGCATCTCCTCTGAGCTGAAGACCTGATTTTCCAGAAGGTAACTGTGATATCTCCACTGGGGCCTCAGTCTTGAAGGACAGGACAGGAGCATCTCCTTTGAGTTGAAGCGCTGATTTTCCAGAAGGTAACTGTGATGTCTCCACTGGGGCTTCAGTCTTGAAGGACAGGACAGGAGCATCTCCTTTGAGTTGAAGACCTGATTTTCCAGAAGGTAACTGTGATGTCTCCACTGGGGCTTCAGTCTTGAAGGACAGGACAGGAGCATCTCCTTTGAGTTGAAGCGCTGATTTTCCAGAAGGTAACTGTGATGTCTCCACTGGGGCTTCAGTCTTGAAGGACAGGACAGGAGCATCTCCTTTGAGTTGAAGACCTGATTTTCCAGAAGGTAACTGTGATGTCTCCACTGGGGCTCCAGTCTTGAAGGACAGAACAGGAGCATCTCCTTTGAGTTGAAGACCTGATTTTCCAGAAGGTAACTGTGATGTCTCCACTGGGGCTCCAGTCTTGAAGGACAGGACAGGAGCATCTCCTTTGAGTTGAAGACCTGATTTTCCAGAAGGTAACTGTGATGTCTCCACTGGGGCTTCAGTCTTGAAGGACAGGAAAGAGGCGTCTACTTTGCCTTGAAGTCCTGGTTTTCCAGAAGCCAATTTTGATGTCTTTGCTGGGATTTCGGGCTTGGAGGAGAGGAGAGAGACATCTGCTTTGCCTTGAGGTCCTGGTTTCTCAGAAACCAACTTTGAAGTCTTTGCTGGGACTTCAAGCTTGGAAGATAGGAGAGGGGCGTCTACTTTGCCTTGAAGTCCTGGTTTTCCAGAAGCCAACTTTGATGTCTTTGCTGGGATTTCGGGCTTGGAGGAGAGGAGAGAGACATCTGCTTTGTCTTGAGGTCCTGGTTTCTCAGAAGCCAACTTTGAAGTCTTTGCTGGGACTTCAAGCTTGGAAGATAGGAGAGGGGCATCTACTTTGCCTTGAAGTCCTGGTTTCTCAGAAGCCAACTTTGATGTCTTTGCTGGGATTTCAGGTTTGGAGAAGAAGAGAGGGACACCTGCTTTGTCTTGAGGTTCTGGTTTCTCAGAAGCCAACTCTGAAGTCTTTGCTGGGACTTCAAGCTTGGAGGATAGGAGAGGGGCGTCTACTTTGCCTTGAAGTCCTGGTTTTCCTAAAATCAACTTTGATATCTTTGCTGGGCCTCCTTTTGTGTCCAAAAGAGAAGGTTGCACCTCACCTGCCGAAAGAGCTGTGGATATCTCCTGGAGAATGGGCAAGATTGACTGGACAACTTTCCCGGTTCCTTCTGGAGTTGAGGGAGATGAACCTTTCTCAACCACCTTTCCTACCTTCAGGGCACCTAGACCAGAGGTTATTAAGACCAGGCTCTTTTTGGGAGGCAACGAAGCCAATGGAGACGCCACTCCTGATGGTTGACCTGCTGCGGGTTTGGTTCCTTCAGCAGAAGATGGGTGGACAGACTCACTGACAGTGTCCGACCCTTCAGAGGTCCACCCTGAGACTTCTGGGAGAACTTCTCCATCTGCTTTTTCCTTTGCGGTTGGGTCATCTGAGGCACCAAAAGTATCACCATTAGAAATATGTCCAGCCAAAGACACAGCACTTCCAATATTTGCCTGGATATCTGAAGAGGGCTGAGAAGAATCGGGAGCACCGAAACTCTGGCTCGTTCCTTGGGTGGCCAAATTCCCATCAACAGATACTGAGGTGGAAATCAAAGTTTCATCTGAAGGTTTAGAAATCGTGGCTCCGTCAGCAGAAAATTGTCCGCCTACCGCATCCAAATTTTGTCCAGGTTGCTCTGCTATATTGTTTTGATTCGGACCCGTTCCTGTAGAAGAAGTGGGTCCTTGGGCATCCGCTGTTCCTACGTTGGCAGCATCCTTCTCTCCATCTGTGGAGAGGGGTGGTTCTCCATTAACCAGGTTTTCGGAAACCTTTTCGCTGACAGATGCCCCAGCTGATTGTGGTTCAGTGGACGATGGAGCCAAGGATAGTTGTTTCTCACTTACAACTGAATTGTCTTCAGAGGGCTCAGCCCCTTCGGTTGCTACACTATCTGGAGATGTTTGAGATGATTCTGATTCAGATCCTGCATTATTTGATGACCCTGAGTTGGCTATCTCCTCTCCTGGGACTAAGGAGGGTTCTCCACTCTCAAGTCCTCCAAGAATGTTATCGTTGGCAGATGTTTCTGGAAATTGCAATTCCGTGGATGGTGGAACCAAAGAAGCGTTGTCTACACTTGCAATGGAGTGGCTTTCTGTTGGTTCTGCTCCCTCAGAAGCAAGAGAACCCTCTGGTGATGTTCCATCTGCTGATAGCTGAGATCCTACGTCAATTGTGGACTTTCTGCTGGCAGTTCCCACCTCTTCGACGGACAATGAATCTCCTAGTGATTCTGCAGTGGATTGAGACAAAGATCCCTTTTCCCCACTGGAAGATGCTTTTGATATCTCTGCACTATCAGGAGATGGAGTCCCTGCTGCTGAGTCTCCATCTGGAGGCAGTTGGGAGTCTGCGTTCGTGGCTGTGTTGTTAGTTTCAGCTTCTTCACTGGAAGAAGAGATGGCTGGTGATTCCACAGCAGAGGCAGTCAAAGTCCCTTCCTTCTCAGTCACACCTGAAACCTGTGATGTTCCTGCCTCTTCAGAAGTTGCAGATCCTCCACCTGATCCAACGTCATTTGGAGATGACTGAGGTTCTGCATTAGTTGCTGGTTTTGAATTGGCTGTTTCCGTCCCATCTCCATTGCTAGGTTTTCCAGAGACCTCTTGACCTTCTAGTGCTGTTGATGACTCTGTAGGTGGTGAACCTAAAGAAGTGTCTTCCTCATTTGCAGAAGGAGAACTTTCCAATTGGTCCACGCTGTTGGACATACCAGATAGTTCAGTGGTTCCACCAGCCACAGGTGACGGAGTTTCTGAATTATTTGTTGACCCTGAGCTAGTGGTTTCCAACTCTTCAGCAGGGAGAGAAGATCCCCCATGACCTGTTTCTCCAAAAATGTCCTCACTAACTGATATTCCTGGAAATTGTGATGTGGTGGCTGATGAGGTCAAAGACACTTTCTCCCCATTATTGGAAGTATCGTCTGCAGCTTCTACGCTCTCAGAATCTTGAACCTCGGTTGTTGATGCACCATCTAGAGATGGTTGAGAATCTGGGTGGGTCCCGGATTCTGAGCTGGCAATTTCCACTTCTTCAGTAGAAGTAGAAGTTGAATGTGACCCTGCAGCTGATGGGATCAAAGAGCCTTCCTTCCCATTTACACCTGAGGGATCTTCTGATATCTCAGGAGGTAACTGAGATCCTGCATTCTTTGCTGGCTCCACCGTGGTTGTTTCAGTCCCATTATTATTCAGGGAGAATTCTCCACCACTACGTCCTCCAGTATCCTCTTCACTGGTAGATGTTTTAGACGTATTGGTGATGTCTTCTGAATCTTCTGCTCCATCCGAAGGAGCTACACTTTCTGGAAGGAACTGAGAGGCCTTGTCCATTGCGGGCGGTGAATTCGCAGTTCCTGCCACTTCACCTTGGAGGGCAGGACTTCCTTTGGTGAGTGCTCCAGAAAACCCACCATTTTCTGAGGTTGTATGTTCTTGGGACTCTGTGGAGGATGAAGCCAAAGGTAATTCCTTCTCACTAGCTGCAGATGTTTGTAGTTGTTCTGTCTCTTTAGAAAGTTCAGGGGCTGCTTCAGCATCTGGAGATGGTTGAGAACCCACCGCTGGCGGCTCAGAGGCAGAATTTTCCGTTCCTTCAGTGGAAGAATCCGATTGTGGCATTACAGAAGATACTGCTTCTGTTTCCAGTGGAGCGTCTTTTCTTAAGACTGAGGCTGAAACAAAGGTCTCTACATTTGCGTTTGGAAGGGCTGGTGGGGGCTCTTCATTTGTCACCACGGTCTCTCCATCTTCTAGAGGCGCCAGAGCTAAAATTCCTCCAATGGGTGAAGTTACTAATTGTCCCACAGGAAAGTCACTTCCAGGCTGACCGTCGTCGCTCACTGTAATGGCTGTTTTGGCTGATGAAGCTGACCCTGCGCCATCTTCTCCATCTCTACTTTCATCTACAGCTTCCCAGATTGGAGAAGAATCAAGAGTTTTGGATGATATACCTGGGGAGGATTCTCCATCTTCATGCTCCAACTTGGAAAGTATACCCTCACTAGATGCAGAAGAGGGCGTTTCTCCTGAAGGTTCTTGAGTTTTGGTTGATGTCTCAGTGTCTACAAGGGGAGAAATTGTTCCAGATTTTACAGCTGGTTCACCTCCAGAGCTTAGTGCACTGGTTTCCAGTGCATCTTCAGAATCTAGATATTGCTCATAAGGTGGGGTATTGGCTGTGTCCTGGGTATTGTCACTATCTAGAAGTGGTTCCTCATTAACTCCTTGCTCTGAGGTAGATCCAGTTCTCTTTTCTTCAGGAGATAAAATTGGCTCAGAAAAGTTTGGTTCCTCAGTAGCTTCTTCAAGTGCTGACTGAGGGTTTAGGGTGGACGGAGCAGAAGAGGTTTTCTCTCTGTTGATGGGAACAGGGTCTTCTGGATCCCCTGAGTGTGTTTCCATGTCATCTTCCTTTGGTAGTTGGGAAAAATTTGGCAGTGGGGTTCCAGAAATTGAAGAGAGCTCTGTATCAGAAGGTGAAAGATTTGACCCGCTCTGACTTTCATTGTTGGCTTGTGTGTCTACCTCATCTGAAGCAAGACTTGGGGTGGTTTCACTGTTTTCAGAAGAAGAAGAACTAATATTTCCAGCTGATCCACTGGGCGAGACCTCGCTTCCTTCTGTATCTGAGGATGGTTCGTTGGTAGATCCAGAAGATGAAGCTTCTACAGGTGGTCCTTGAGCCTCAGCAGCTCCTTCATCGTCCACCGCAGGAGGAGGAGGAGGAGAATCTTCTACATCCCCTGAATCTGTTTCTATCTCGTTCCCTTTTGGTAGTTGAGAAGATGGTTGGGAACCAGGTAACAAATTGGGTGGAAGTTCTGTTGTGTCTGGTTCTGAAATGAGGGATCCAGAAAGTGCTTCATCAGGAGATGTTGAAGGATAGGTAGGTTCTCCCTCTGAGGAAGAACTGGAACCAGATGTTAGTGCATTCTCTACAAGTGACTGACTTGGAGACAATTGATCATCCAAGGTCCCTGATCTTCCCACAGGCAGTGGGGTTCCAGAAATTGAAGAGAGTCCTGTATCAGGGGGTAACAGATCTGACCCTCTATGATCTTCATTGTTGGCTTGTGTGTCTACCTCACCTGAAGCAACACTTGGGATAGTTTCATTGTTTTCAGAAGAAGAAGAACTAATATTTCCAGGTGATCCACTGGGCGAGACCTCGTTTCCTTCTGTCTCAGAAGATAGTTTGTTAGCAGATGCAGGAACTGAAGCTTCTGTAGGTGGCCCTTGAATTTCTGCAGGTGGTTCTTGAGCCTTGTCAGCTCCGTCATTGTCCACCCGTGGAGGAGAAGTCACCATCCTATCAAACAAAGTCTCTGATTCATTTTCAGAATCTGAAGAGATGGGATTTATTTCATCCTCAGGAACACTATTTGAGATGGCAGTTGCCTCATTATCTTCCAACTCTGAATTAGCTGTTTCCACTCCAGGATTCAAGGAGGAAGCTGTGCCATTGAGGAGATCTTCAGATCTTTCTCCATCTGGTATCGCGGGTCCTTGGGCAGACTCTTGACCTGGAAGTGGTGACACAAAAGGTGTCCCTTCATTGCTCTTTGGGTTTCCTGAGTCTTCTTCTCCTTCTCCTTTCACTGTGGAGGTTGTCCCTATCTCACCATCTTTAGGCAACTGAGAAGATATCCCTGGAGTTACAGAAAGTCCCATCAAAGGAATATCTGCTGCGTCCAATTGTGAAGTCCTGAAGAGGGTGTCACGGGGAAGCCCTGAGTCAGATGGAGCATCAGTTGTTCTATCTGAAGGAGAGGAATTTGATGCTTCAGCATCTATAAGGTCTTCTGGTTCTTCACTGGACACGTTGACAGGGCTTTCATGATTAAGCTCTGGGCCTGATGAAGATGGAATTGGAGCTGCGTCACCTCTTCCTTCCACACTAGCAGAAGATGGTTGAAGGGAGTCTACGGCAAAGTCACTGGTCTCTGGAGATCCAAAGATTGCATGGGTGAGGGATGGCCAAATGGAAGGGAACACTGTTGAAAATATTGACTGTGGTGTCTCAGGGCTATCTTCTGAAGACGGTGAAAGGAGGCTTCCAGCATCTTCTCTTGTTTCAGACAGGTCTTCTGGGGTGCTAGGGAAAATTGTGGAATTTGAGGATGGGTCCTCTAATGTCCCATTCTCATTTGTGGATGGTTCTGGGGTGTCTTCCTTTGCCTCTAAAGGAGCAGCTTCAGTTTCTTCCCATGAAGTTGAGATGGGCTTCAATTCGTCATCCAGATTTGGTTCTCCAGGAAGGTTCTCCCAAGGGTTCTCTCCTTCTGGAGGCCTTTCGCTGGAAATTTCAATCTGGGCCTCTTCTCCAGAGGGAGATGCTAACAGGTCTTCCACCTGGGTTGCAAGCACAGTCACAGGAGCATCTGTTACGCCAGAGTATCTCTCCGTGATTAGCTCGGTGGCTTGATGGCCTTCATCCAAAACTGGAGCCGGCGTTTCCTTTGATGCTTCCTGGGATTCAGCAAGAGGGTCTCCTTCGAGAGTCACTTTTTCCAAAGTTGGCTCCGAAGAGTTGACTTGACTCAAGACCCTCTTGTCAACAGAAGGGACTTCTGAGGTCTCCTTGAGATCTTCTGGGATTTTGAAGGTCTTGGGTGTGGTGATAAGGGGACCAGAACCACCTTCGCCGGAGGCCAACCTAGACTTCGGAAGTTCTCCAGGACTTGACGTCTCCCCTTCTCCAACAGCATCAGGGGTCTCCCCATTCGTCTCGGAAGGGAAGGTGGTTTCATCTGGAAAGTCAAAATCTTCCTCCGTGGTTGTGGGCAGAGTCGGCTCAAAATAGTCGGTGAACGCCACTGTGGCTGGAAAATTTGGGGTGCTGTAGTCATCTTGAATGACTGGCTGTTCGGTGGTCACTGGGAGCGCCGCCCCTGTTGCGATCCCTGTGAAGGGTTGATAAAAATAAAACGAGGGTCACGCTTTGGCAACAAACACAAGCTTCCTGCCGATTTAAAGAGATTGAAATAAAAGCGATTCATGCACAGAAGTACAAGGAGACCTGGATCCCCGTCTCTACAGAAGCTTTGAAGAAGAGGCTGGACCGTCATCTCAGAAATGAGATGATAGCAGCGTTCCAGTATCTCAGGGACTGCCCCAAAGAAGAGGGAGTCAAGCTCTTCTCCAAAGCCCCTGAAAGCAGGACAAGAAGCAATGGGTGGAAACTAACCAAGGAGAGAAGCAACCTGGAACTAAGGAGAAATTTCCTGACAGATAGAACAATTAACCAGTGGAACCACCTGCCTCCAGAAGCAGTGAATGCTCCAACACTGGACGTTTTTAAGAAGAGACTGGACGGCTGTTTGTCTGAAATGGTATAGGGTTTCCTGCCTGAGCAGGGGGTTGGACTAGATGACCTCCAAGGTCTCTTCCAACTTTATTATTATTATTATCGATCATCGCACAGTCAGCCAGATGTTCAGACTGGATTTGGTATTTTGTCTACCTATCGAGTCCTTACCCAGGACCTGGGATAGGCAGATGTGGATGTTTGATGGTATTATAGATATTGTCACAGGATGGAAGCAGTTCCTAATAAGGCTGCCTTTTGCAATTGACTAATAGCGAATTTGTCAATGCCAATGGTGTTCAAGTGGTGCTCCAGTTGTTTTGGGATTGCACCCAAGGCGCCTATGACTATTGGTACTACCCTTGCTTGCTTTTGCCACAGTCTTTCCATTTCTATTTGTAGGTCTTTGTATTTTGTTATCTTCTCCAGTTCTTTCTCTTCTATTCTGCTATCTCCAGGCACTGCCACGTCCACTATCCAGACTTTTTTGTATAATAATAATTATTATTATTATTATTATTATTATTATTATTATTATTATTATTATTATTATTATTATTATTATTATTATCATCATCATCACTATCATTATATGGCTTAATCAGTTCACCTGCGTGCCACAAGGAGTTGGATTCTAGGCACTCCTTGACTTATGACAGTTCCAAATTCAAAATTACCACAGTGTTGAACAAAGGGACTTGTTCATGGCCATGTGGGCTCTTGGCAACCTGTTCACACTTACGTCGGAGTGCCAAAGCTTTCGAGATCATGTGATGGAAAACACTCACAGCCCTGCTCAACAGCCATACGCAAATGGCTTTCAACCCAACCTTGAGACACAACTGGTTCTTGGGAATAGGCAGAATCAGAATCAGAACAGAGCCGGAAGGGACCTTGAAGGTCATCTAGTCCAACCCTCTGCTCAAGCAGGAGACCCTGTACCATTCTAGACAGCGCCTCCGGTGTTGGAGCACCCACAACCCCTTGTGGCAAGTTGTTCCACTGGTTAATTGTCCTCACTGTTAGGAAGTTTCTCCTTAGTTCCTTGATGAGTTTCCATCCGTGGCTTCTTGTCCTGCCTTCAGGCGCTTTGGAGAAGAGCTTGACTCCCTCTTGTTTGGGGCAGCCCCTGAGATACTGGAAGGCTGCTATCCTGTCCCCCTGTTCCTTCTCTTCGTTAAACTAGACATACCCAATTCCAGCAACCGTTCCTTGTATGTTTTAGCCTCCAGTCCCCTAATCATCTTTGTTGCTCTTCTCTGTACTCTTTCTAGAGTCTCAGCGTCTTTTTTACATCGTGGTGACCAAAACTGGACACCATCTTCCAGATGTGGCCTCCCCAGTGAACATAAAGAGGTAAAGATTGTCCTTGACTTACAAGCATTCATTGAACGAGATTTCGGAGTTACAACAGCACTGAAAAAAGGGACTTACGACCGTGTTTCGTACTTACGACCGTTGCAGCATCCCTGTGGCCATGTGATCAAAGTTCAGACGCTGGGCCACTGACTCGTATTTGTGACGGTTGCGGCGTCCTCCGGGGATCGTGCGATCCCTTTGGCGACCTTCTGACAAGCTAAGTCCATTCACTTAACAACCCTGGGGCTGACTTAACAGCCGCCGCGATTTGCTTAACGACAGTGGCAAGACAGGTCATAAAACGGGCCAAAACACCCTTAACAACTGTCTCCCTTAGCGTACGTCGAGGACTTCCTGGAATTGGACTTCAAACGATCTGGGAAACAATGCCTAATTATTAACAGCTCGGCTCCTTCTTCCCTCTCTCCCTTAAGGGATCTTTTCGATAAGATTCCTGATTTTTGTCCAATTTGCTCAGGTGCCCTTTTCGTCTCCAGGTATGGCAGCTGCCCGCCTGGTCTCCCACCGACAGGGTGGGTGGGCGATGCTAGGCACAAACGCGGTCATGCATTTCCCATCAATAAATCTCCTTTCGAGATAAAACCTCCTTCGCTAATCATTGTCCAGACTCCAAGTCGGATTCCCGCTCCCAGAAACATCCACACACATACCTGGCGCTCCCGTCAGTGCTACGCTGAGGAGGTAATGCTGGAGTAGCGTGGGGACCCAAGCCAAGGAGAGCTTTTGAAGATTACAAGCAACTTTTTCAAGCGCCCCCGGAAGCTTAATGGATGCCAGGATGGAACCCATAATTGGAATTTGGATAAATAACTCAGCACTCCTTTTTCTTGCTATTTTTCCCCACAACGCCAACCCTGTGAGGTGGGTTAGGCAGAGAGAGAGAGAGAGAGAGGGAGGGAGGGAGGGAGGGGGGGAGAGGGAGAAAGAGAGAGAGAGAGAGCAAGCGAGCAATATAAGGAGAAGGAGAAGGAAAAATAGAAGAAGAAGAGAGATATTGCCCCAAATCACCCAATCAACCAAGGCAGAACTAGAACTCACCGCCTCCTGGTTTCTATCCTGGTTCCTTAATTCCCCATCTCCTGATAATTGGCCCAAAGTCACCCAGCAGCTTTGACACCTAAGGCGGGACTAGATCTCCCCATCTCCTAGTGACTGGACCAAAGTCACTCAGCTGGCTTTCATGCCTAAGGCTGGACTATAACTCACAGTCTCCCGGTGATTGGTCCAGAGTCACTCAGCTGGCTTTCATGCCTAAGGCGAGACTATAACTCACAGTCTCCCGGTGATTGGTCCAGAGTCACTCAGCTGGCTTTCATGCCTAAGGCGAGACTAGAACTCACAGTCTCCTGGTGATTGGCCCAGAGTCACCCAGCCAGCTTTTATGCCTAAGGCGGGATTAGAATTCACCGTCTCCTGGTGATTGGCCCAAAGTCACTCAGCTGGCTTTTCATGCCTAAGGTGGGACTAGAATTCCCAGCCTTCTAGTGATTGACCCAAAGTCACTCAGTCGGCTTTCATGGTTAATGCGGGACTAGAACTCACAGTCTCCTGGTGATTGGCCCAGAGTCATTCAGCTGGCTTTCATGCCTAAGGTGGGACTAGAATTCCCAGCCTCCTAGTGATTGACCCAAAATCACTCAGTTGGCTTTCATACCTAAGGCGGGACTAGAACTCACCATCTCCTGGTTTCTATCCTGGTGCCTTAACTCCCCGTCTCCTGGTGATTGGCCCAAAGTCACCCAGGCAGCTTTTATGCCTAGTGCAGTACTAGAACTCACCATCTCCTGGGGATTGGCTCAAAGTCACCCAGGCAGCTTTTCCTGCCTAAGGCAGGACTAGATCTCCCAGTCTCCTGGTGATTGGCCCAAAATCACCCAGACAGCTTTTATGTGTAATGCGGAACTAAAACTCATGGTGTCCTGGGTTCTAGACTACTGCCTTCACCGCTAGACCAAACTGGCTCATCATCTACTTCCTCTGCCCATACATAGAGTGCTGCATTTCGTACCACTTGTAGTTTCCGAGAGGTCTTCAAGGGCAGTTCCACGTGAAGCACATTAATAGTAGTCCAGTCGGGTCCGGGTGCATTGTAGTTGACGAGGCCAACTGCAATGCTCTGCTATTTATAAAAACATTCTCCAATTTCCACAAGTAGCACCCGGGTGTCTCCAGAGGGACGCAAGTGGGTCAGGTTACACATTTCTACATATCTACATTTTTACAGTACAGGGAAGTCCTCGTTTTACGACCGCAACTGACCCAAAATTTCTGCCGGTAAGTGACACATTTGTTAAGTGAGTTTCGCCCCATTTTATGACTTTCCTTGCCACAGTGGTTAAGTGAAGTGAGTAACACTTACTAGCTTAACCACTGAATCCAGCTTCCCCCGTTGACTTTGCTTGTCAGAAAAATTGCAAAAAGGGATCACGTGACCCCAGGACACTGCGACCGTCGTAAGTAGGAGTCAGTGGCCAAGTGTCCGAATTTTGATCTACCACGGTCGTAAGTGTGAAAAACGGTGAAAAGTCACTTTTTTCAATGCCGTTATAACTTCAAACAGCCACTAAACGAAGCAACTCACCCTAACATTCACATATAAATGTTTGCAGGAGACCTTAAGCTACAAAAAAGTTTAACCAACATTACTACTAACTAAGCTTAGCACACAGTACAAGGGAAGGCACTGAGTCTTCACTTAACCTGGTTTAATCACGTTGTGTGAAACAAGCTCTTAGGCCAGTTGCAGGAAACTGTGGTTTTTCCTGCCTCTTTTATCAAAACTGTTTGTAATTGTCAAGTACCACAACACACAAATCAATTTACAAGGCTAACTTCACTTGGCGTTTTCCTAATGAATGTAGTCTGGTGTTAAAATTTGTCTATAACCGCTCCAGTATATATTTTGGGTTATTCGAACCAACTTAAGAATTAAGGAGAAATTTCCTGATATAAGAACAATTAATCAGTGGGACATGTTGCCTTCAGAAGTGCTCCATCACTGGAGATTCTCAAGAAGAGATTGGACAACCATATAATAATAATAATAATAGTAATAATAATAATAATAATAATAATGAGAAAGTCATAGAAAATGATAAAATTAAACTGCTCTGGGACTTCAGAATTCAAACAGACAAGCACCTGCAACATAACACCCCAGACTTAACAATTGTCGATAAGAAAGACAAAAAAGTCTGGATAGTGGACGTGGCAGTGCCTGGAGACAGCAGAATAGAAGAGAAAGAACTGGAGAAGATAACAAAATACAAAGACCTACAAATAGAAATAGAAAGACTGTGGCAAAAGCAAGCAAGGGTAATACCAATAGTGATAGGCTCCTTGGGTGCAATCCCAAAACAACTGGAGCACGATTTGAACACCATTGGCATTGACAAATTCGCTATTAGTCAATTGCAAAAGGCGGCCTTGCTAGGAACTGCTTCCATCCTGCGATGAGATCTGTAATACCATCAAACATCCACATCTGCCTATCCCAGGTCCTGGGTAAGGACTTGATAGGTAGACAAAATGCCAAATCCAGTTTGAACATCTGGCTGACTGTGCGATGATCCATAATAATAATAATAATGTTGGAAGGGACCTTGGAGGTCATCTAGTCCAACCCCCTGCTCAGGCAGGAAAGCCTATACCATTTCAGACAAATGGCTGTCCAATCTCTTCTTAAAAATTTCCAGTGTTGGAGCATTCACAAGTTCTGTAGGCAAGGAGTTCCACTGGTTAATTGTTCTGTCAGGAAATTTCTCCTTAGTTCTAGGTTGCTTCTCTCCTTGATGAGTTTCCATCCGTTGCTTCTTGTCCTGCCTTCTGTGCTTTGGAGAACAGCTTGACTCCCTCTTCTTTGGGGCAGCCCCTGAGATACTGGAAGTCTGCTATCCTGTCCTCCCCCCCATCCTTCTCTTCGTTAAACTAGACATACCCAATTCCAGCAACCGTTCCTTATATGTTTTAACCTCCAGTCCCCTGATCATCTTTGTTGCTCTTCTCTGGACTCTTTCTAGAGTCTCAACATCTTTTTTACACCGTGGTGACCAAAACTGGATGCAGGATTCCAAGTGCTATAGGTTCTCCTGCTTGAGCAAGGAATTGGACCACAAGACCTAAACAGTAACTGTGAGAGGGATCTCAGAGTCCTAGTGGACGATCCCTTAAACATGAGCCAGCCGTAGGCGGCAGCAGCCAAAAGAGCTAATACAATCCTGGGTTGTATAAACGGAGGCATAGAATCAAAATCACATGAAGTATTAATACCTCTTTATAAAGCCCTAGTAAGGCCATACCTGGAATACAGCATCCAGTTTTTGGTCACCCCATTACAAAAAAGATGTTGAGCCTTTGGGGAAAAGTGCAGAGAAGCGCAACTAAGATGATTAAAGGTCCTGGAGACTAAAACATACGAAGAACGACTGCGGGATTTGGGTATGGCCAGTCTAGAGAAAAGGAGAAATAGGGGTGACATGACAGCAGTCTTCCAGTATTTGAGGAGCTGATAAAAAGAGGAGGGGGTCAACCTATTCTCCAAAGCACCAGAGGGCAGGACAAGAAACAATGGTTGGAAACTGATCAAGGAGAGAAGCAACCTGGAATTAAGGAGAAACTTCATGACAGTGAGGACAATTAACCAGTGGAACAGCTTGCCAACAGAAATTGTGGATGCTCCATCACTGGAGGTTTTCAAGAAGAGATTGGACAGTCACTTGTCTGAGATGGTGTAGGTTCTCCTGCTTGAGCAGGGGGCTGAACTAGAAGACCTCCAAGATCCTTTCCAGCTCTATTCTATTCTATTCTATTCTATTCTATTCTATTCTATTCTATTCTATTCTATTCTATTCTGTTCTGTTCTGTTCTGTTCTGTTCTGTTCTGTTCTGTTCTGTTCTGTTCTGTTCTGTTCTCCAAAGCACCAGAAGGCAGGACAAGAAACAACGGTTGGAAACTAATTGAGGAGAGAAGCAACCTGGAATTAAGGAGAAATTTCCTGACAGCAAGGACAATTAACCAGTCCAACAGCTTCCCACCAGAAGTTGTGGGCGCTCCATCACCGGAGGTTTTTAAGAAGAGACTGGACAGTCACTTGTCTGTGATGGTATAGGTTCTTCTGCTTGAGCAGGGGGCTGGACTAGAAGACCTCCAAGGTCCCTTCCAGGTCTATTCCATTCCATTCTATTCTATTCTATTCTATTCTATTCTATTCTATTCTATTCCATTCCATTCCATTCCATTCCATTCCCTTCTCTTCTGTTCTGTTCTGTTCTGTTCTGTTCTATTCTCCAAAGTGCCTGAAGGCAGGACGAGAAACAACGGTTGGCAACTAATCAAGGAGAGAAGCAACCTGGAACTAAGGAGAAACTTCCTGACAGCGAGGACAATTAACCAGTGGAACAGCTTCCCAGCAGAAGTTATGGGAACGCCAACCTTGGAGGTTTTTAAGAAGAGACTGGACAGCCATTTATCTGGAATTGCATGGGATCTCCTGCTTGAGTGGGGGGTTGGACTAGAGGACCTCCAGGGATCCTTCCAACTCTGTTTACAGCATTCTGTTATTCTGACTGGCAAAGTTCTCCTCCTTTACTGTCCATTCTCCAACCCTTCCCTCCATCCTTCCCTTCTCCTCCCCCCCCCCCCCCGTTTGCATCTTTCATTAAATCCCCGGGGCTGAATATGCCCGCCTCCTTATTCCACCTGTGCAGAAGCCAACTCACCGCAGAGAAGCCATGCCCAGAATCCGAACAGGGGCCCCTGCAGCACCTCCTTTGGGCTTCCCATGGACCAACCGGTTGACTTTGCTGGAGAAGACAGGGTGGCTGAAGTCCTCCAACAGGACCAAGTAGAATTTTCTATGGGACTTGTGGGTCCTTATAAGAGGTGGCAAGGGGGCTGTGCCCGTAGCCACGCCCCCTTTTGTCCAATTCTCTGGTTACAGCCGGAGGGCCGGGAAGAACTAAGGTGAAACAGAGGTGGCTTCCATCTCACAGGATAATTGAATAAGGGAATTGGAAGGAACCTTGGAGGTCTTCTAGTCCAACCCCCTGCTCAAGCAGGAAATTGTATACAGCTAGTCGTTATTATTATTATTATTATTATTATTATTATTATTATTATTATTGATCATCACACAGTCAGCCAGATGTTCAGACTGGATTTGGCATTATTATTATGGATCATTGCACAGTCAGCCAGATGTTCAGACTGGATTTGCATTTTGTCTACCTATCGAGTCCTTACCCAGGACCTGGGATAGGCAGATGTGGATGTTTGATGGTATTACAGATATCGTCGCAGGATGGAAGCAGTTCCTAGTAAGGCCGCCTTTTACAGTTGACTAATAGCGAATTTGTCAATGCCAATGGTGTTCAAGTGGTGCTCCAGTTGTTTTGGGATTGCACCCAAGGAGCCTATTACTATTGGTACTACCCTTGCTTGCTTTTGCCACAGTCTTTCTATTTCTATTTGTAGGTCTTTGTATTTTGTTATCTTCTCCAGTTCTTTCTCTTCTATTTTGCTATCTCCAGGCACTGCCACATCCACTATCCAGACTTTTTTGTCTTCTTATCGACAATTGTTAAGTCTGGGGTGTTATGTTGCAGGTGCTTGTCTGTTTGAATTCTGAAGTCACAGAGCAGTTTAATTTTATCATTTTCTATGACTTTCTCTATTTTATGATCCCACCAGTTTTTGCTTACAGGCAAATGATATTTTTTGCAGATCTTCCAATGCACCATTGTTGCTACTTTGTCATGCCGTTGCTTGTAATCAGTCTGTGCAATCTTCTTGCAACAGCTTACCAGGATTATTATTATTAGTAGTAGTATTATTATTACATTGCTGACATTAAGATATATTATGTTCCTTGCATTCCCACAGTCTACTAAATCATCTTGCACTACTGTTACACAGTCTACAATAAAATTATGCAGTGGTAGTCCCCGACATACAACAGTTCATTTAGTGTAGTGACCGTCCAAAGTTGCAACAGCACTGACAAAAGTGACTTAGGACCATGTTTCACACTTACGACCGTTGCAGCCTCCCCAGGGTCAACGTGGTTTACTTTTGGATGCTGGACAACTGGTTCATATTTATGACGGTTGGCAGTGTCACGTTGATCCCCTTCTGCGACCTTCTGACAATGGGAAAGCCGGATTCACTGAACAACCATGTTACTAACCACGGCAGCGATTCGCTTAACAACGGTGGCGAGAAAAGTTCCAAAATGGGGCAAGACTCATTTAACCAATTTCTCAGCCGCATGAATTCTGTGATCATAAGTCGAGGAACTACCTGTGTTAGAGGAATAACAAGAAGAAGAGAAATAGGAGGATGTGGCTACAAATGTTGTCAATGCAGCTGGAAGACCACCAGCCTTGAAAAAAGGTCTTCAGGATTCTAAATGTTGAAAGAAAAATCTTCATCAGGGTCCAATCCAAGCCGGGAATAAACAAAATGGAGACTGCTTTAGAAAGAAAGTTGCGGCTTATCGAAGAGCAGAGCCAGACAGAAATGTGGCTCTGAGAAGAACTGACCACATGTAGCTGGGAGTGGTGGGTTTTTATCCCCTCTTGGGCTTTTGTTTGGAGTTGTTCCTGGGGCGTGAACTTTGACCTGAGTCTGAGTGGGTCTTTCTGGTAATCTGGTGGTGGTGGGTTAATCCTATTATGTCCCAAAAGGTCATATCCTGCTTCCCTGGGGCTGTGGCTGACGACTATGTCCTGTGTTGGATTTTTGGGGTGTGAGGGATTGTCGATTCTAAGGATCTTTGTCTTTCTAATCCCATCAGCTCCAAGCTTCCTGGCTCCAATCTTTCTGACAGGATTATCACATCTGCATTTCTGCAGACCTGGTTTCTGTTTGGGCAGAGAGACTTGGGGCTTTTAAGAAAAACTGGGCATGCTTTTCTGCCTTTTTAAGGTCCTTTGAGGAAATATAATATTCTGACCTTTTCATATTTCCTTCTCTGGGGTAGTGGGGGCTGACTTCCCACATATAAATCAGAATCAGAATAGAACTAGAAGGGATTTTGGAGGTCTTCTAGTCCAACCCCCTGCTCAGGCAGGAAACCCTATACCATTCCAGACGAATGGCTGTCCAGTCTCTTCTTAAAAACCTCCAGTGATGGAGCACCTACAACTTCTAGTGGCAAGCTGTTCCACTGGTTACTTGTCCTCACGGTTAGGAAGTTTCTCCTTAATTCCAGGTTGCTTCTCTCCTTGATTAGTTTCCATCCGTTGCTTCTTGTCCTGCCTTTGGGTGCTTTGGAAAATAAGTTGACCCCCCCCCTCTTCTATGGGGCACCCCCTCAAATACTGAAACACTTCTATCATGTCCCCCCTACTCTTTCTTTTCTCTAGAGTAGCCAAATCCAAATCCTGCAACTGTTTTTCGTCTCCAGGCCTTTAATCGCCTTAGTTGCTCTTCTTTGCACTTTTTCCAAAGGCAGAAGAGATGTGGACTTCAACTCCCAGAGTTCCTCCCCCAGCCAATGGCAATCACATGACCCTGAGATGGCTAGATTGAGGAATTCTGGGAGTTGAAGTCCACAGTATTTCAGGCTCCCAAAGGAGCAAGTGTTTTACAATGGTTGCAGCATCCCGAAGTCACATGTTTACCGTTTGCAATCCTCCTAGCCCAGGGGTAGGCAACCTTGGCTCTTTTATGACTCGTGGACTTCAACTCCCAGAATTCCTGGGCCAGCCATGCTGAGGGAAAAGGGAGAGGTTTCCAAGCTGAGCCAGGCTGGCTCAGGAATTCTGGGAGTTGAAGTCCACCAGTCATGAAGGGGCCATAGTTTCCCCCATGCTGGCTCAGGAATTGTGGGAGTTGAAGTCCACCAGTCATGAAAGGGCCATAGTTCCCCCATGCTGGTGAGGAATTCTGGGAGTTGAAGTCCACGAGTCATGAAGGGGCCATATTTCCCCCATGCTGGCTGAGGAATTCTGGGAGTTGAAGTCCACCAGTCATGAACGGGCCATAGTTCCCCCACACTGGCTGAGGAATTCTGGGAGTTGAAGTCCACGAGTCATGAAGGGGCCATAGTTCCCCCACACTGGCTCAGGAATTCTGGGAGTTGAAGTCCGCGAGTCATGAAGGGGCCATAGTTCCCCCATGCTGGCTGAGGAATTCTGGGAGTTGAAGTCTATGAGTCATAAAAGAGCCAAGGTTGCCTACCCCTGTCCTAACCGGCTTCCACTAAGCAAAGTCAGTGGGGGGGGGAAGCTGGGTTTGTTTAACGACCCCGTGATTCACTTAACAACTGCAATAATCGCTGCACGAAAAAGGTCGTAAAATTGCCCTCGATTTCACATATCCTCCATCTTGTTCAGCAATGGAAATTCCGATGCCCATCCCGGTCATAAGTTGAGAACTACTTGTTCCCGGAGTCTACTCACGGCATACCTTTATGAGAAGTCACCTGGCCTGCCTCGGTGAGCCACCCACTCACCCATCCTAGCAACTGAGTCTCCAGTTATGGTTGACGGTCCTGGGGGGCATAAATATGTTAATGGCGCTGCGGTCCATTAAATCTGCTGATGAGGTCACAGACCATGAACCGCTAAGGGCTCTCTTGATCACCTGCCACTCATTCTTGGCCCAGTGAGTCAAAAAAAAGGGCATTAGGTCACCAGCCCATGAAAAAAGAGCCTGGATGATAACCTCTGCGCCTCGGGGACGGGGGGGGGCGATCAACGTCATCCTGTCCCACCGCTATCAGAAGGATCTCAGAAAGTCTTAAAAAATAAGAAAGCAATGATGGGGTCTTCTCACACACACACACACGCACACCCCCATGCGAATTCCAGAGTTATTCTTCATCAGAACTCATAAAGTTATGAGTTTGTTCATTTGGAGCATGGAATTTTCCAGAATTGGCCTTAGCGGGGGAGTGGATTGAACATAAAAATTGTCCCGTTTAAATTCATGGTGAGGACAAGTAGTCCTTCACTTACAACTATTTGTTTAGTGGCCCTTCAAAGTCATCACGGCGCTGAAAAAAGGGAGTTATGACTGTTTTTCACACTTGTGAATGTCAACCTCCTTTTCCTCTTCCTCACAATCCTACTCCCTTCTAGCACTGATGATGTTCCCTAGTTGGCTCATGAAACGTCTGCAAGAAAAAAAAACCCTGCTCAGAGAATACAAAAGACTCCCGCACACTCCTCCTGCTCCCCTTCACATTTCTTCCTTCTCCTCCCCACCTCCTCCTTCTAACAGTGATGATGATGATGATGATGACGACAATAATAATAAAAAAGTTGGAAGGGACCTTGGAGGTCATCTAGTCCAACCCCCTGCTCAGGCAGGAAACCCTATACCATTTCAGACAAAGGGCTGTCCAGTCTCTTCTTAAAAACTTCCAGTGTTGGAGCATTCACTGCTTCTGGAGGCAGGTTGTTCCACTGGTTAATTATCCTCACTGTCAGGAAGTTTCTCCTTAATTCCCGGTTGCTTCTCTCCTTGATTAGTTTCCACCTGTTGCTTCTTGTCCTGCCTTCAGGCGCCTTGGAAAATAGCTTGACTCCCTCTTCTTTGGGGCAGCCCCTGAGATACTGGTCCCCCCTCGTCCTTCTCTTCATTAAACTAGACATACCCAATTCCAGCAACCATTCCTTACGTGTTTTAGCCTCCAGTCCCCCTGATCCTCTTTGTTGCTCTTCTCTGCACTCTTTCTAGAGTCTCAACATCTTTTTTACATCGTGGTGACCAAAACTGGATGCCGTATTCCAAGTGTGGCCACACCAAGGCCTTGTAAAGTGGTATTAACGCTTCACGTGATCTTGATTCTCTCCCTCTGTTAATGCAGCCTAGCACTGGGTTGGCCTTTTTGGCAGCTGCAGCACACGGCTGGCTCCTATTTAGGGGATGGTCCACTAGGAGTCCGAGATCCCTCTCACAGTTGCTACTATTGAGCAAGGTACCCCCTATCCCATATCTATACATTTGGTTTTTCTTGCCTAAATGTTTGCAAAAAAATAACCAAGCTCAGAGAGCACCAAGGACCTCACAGTCCCCCCCCCCTCCTCCTCCTCCTCCTCCCTCACTCCCATTCTAGCATTGACGATTCCCCTTACTGGCTGGGGAATTCTGGGCGTCGAAATCCACCTTTCTTGGTTGAAAAAGATTGAAACCCTCTGCTCAAAATGGAATGTATTTGGGAATTTTTTTAAAAAATAAGCACATTCTAAAAAGAAAAAAAAAGTTGAAGATTGCCCCATTATTGTTTTGGGAAAAGCAATTGCTAAGATGTAGAAGTCCAAATTTTTTCAGAATAGAATAGAGCTGGAAGGGACCTTGGTGGTCTTCTAGTCCAGCCCCCTGATCAAGCAGAAGGACCTACACAACATCTCAGACAGGTGATTGTCTAGTCTCTTCTTAAAAACCTCCAGCGATGGAGCGCCCCTGACTTCTGGTGGCAAGCTGTTCCACTGGTTGATTGTCCTCACTGTCAGGAAGTTTCTCCTTAATTCCAGGTTGCTTCTCTCCTTGATCAGTTTCCAACCATTGTTTCTCATCCTGCCTTCAGGTGCTTTGGAGAATAGCTTGACCCCCTCTTCTTTGGGGCAGCCCCTCAAATACTGGAACATTGTTATCATGTCTCCCCTATTTCTTCTTTTCTTTAGACCAGCCAAATCCAAATCCTGCAGCCGTTCTTCGTATGTTTTTGTCTCCAGGCCTTGGATCATCTTAGTTGCTCTTCTCTGATTTTTTTCTAGACTCTCAACATCTTTTTTGGTGATATGTTGTTGTTGTTTTTTGTGATATGATATTAGCTATGGATCAGTCAGAATAATCCATGTTTCTGTCTTGGAAATCTTTGCTTCTCCTTACCAAATCTTTGACAGAAAGAGGCTTCAACTGAGAATCATTTGCCTAGATGTCTTCTTGATGTAGTTTTATTTTACGCACGTATTAAAGTTATTTGCTGCCTATCTCGCGACAAGGCATCATTGTCAACATATTGGAAGGAGAATCAGAAAACCTTCTACTTCTCCAAGGTGAACTTTTGCCAAAGGGTTGACCTTCGGGCATTTGTTTTCCTGATTTGGCCAAGCTGATTTGAGAGTTAATAGGTGATCTTAATAGTCATGTTACATAACCTGGTTTGGGAGGGGAACTTTTATTTCCAGCCTTTCAAACACTTTCCAGATTAATGATCTGAATCTTCTGCGTGGCGTCACAGCGTGGGCCAAACCGATGAACCGGTCAACCATTCAGCTGGACACTAATCGCCCGAGGTGTTGAAATATTTTTGATTTGGGGGGGGGGGGAATGACTGTTGCAAAAAGGGAGCCAGGGTCTTTTACGTACTGCTTCCCCCACCCCGGGGGCAGATGTCAAAGAACCCAGCCTTTATACATTATTGTTTTCCTTCAAATGATGCTTGTGGTTATTTCCAAGTTTGTTTGTGGATTCTCGGGGATCGATTCTGTACAACTCAGGGCCCACCATTCATTCAATAATTCTCCTTTTTTTGTTTTTTGTTTTGTCTCCCAAACCAGAGTCAGGTCTGCTTAGTTAACAAGCTGAAAAAACCCCAGCCCTTTCGAGGAATTAAGAGAATAAAAGAATAGAATAACAGATATAACAGAGTGGGAAGGGACCTTGGAGGTCATCTAGTCCAACCCCCTGCTCAGGCAGGAAACTCTATACTATTTCAGACAAATGGCTGTCCAATCCCTTCTTAAAAACCTCCAGTGTTGGAGCATTTACTGCTTCTGGAGGCAGGTTGTTCCACTGATTAATTGTTCTCACTGTCAGGAAGTTTCTCCTTAATTCCAGGTTGCTTCTCTCCTTGGTTAGTTTCCACCCGTTGCTTCTTGTCCTGCCTTCAGGCGCTTCGGAGAATAGCTTGACTCCCTCTTCTTTGGGGCAGCCCCTGAGATATTGGAACATTGGCTATCATGTCCCCCCTCGTCCTTCTTTTCATTGAACTAGACATACCCAGCCACCGTTCCTTGTATGTTTTAGTCTCCAGCCCCGCTGATCCTCTTTGTTGCTCTTCTCTGCACTCTTTCTAGAGTCTCAACATCTTTTTTACATCGTGGTGACCAAAACAGGATGCAGGATTCCAGCTGTGGCCTTACCAAGGCCTTGTAAAGTGGTATTAACACTTCACGTGATCTTGATGCAGCCCAACACTGTATTGGCCTTTTTGGCAGCTGCAGCACACAGCTGGCTCCTATTTAGGTGATCGTCCACTAGGACTCTGAGATCCCTCTCACAGTTACTACTATTGAGCAAGGTACCCCCTATGCCATACCTATACATTTGGTTTTTCTTGCCTAAAAGTAGAACCTTACTTTTTTCCCCACTGAATTTCATTTTGTTAGATAGCGCCCAGTGTTTGAGTCTTTCCAGATCCTCCTGTATCTTAAGCCTGTCTTCTAGTTTAGTTGCTGGAGTATAAAACAGCACCTGCTTTTTTTTTTTTTTTTTTTTGCCTTGTTTTCTGAGTTTTTTTGCAATCAGAGCTATAGTTGCTAGCCAGTTACGTAAGCTCAACACAGGGGTGTAACTACAATTGCATTATTTCCAACCATTTTAAGGCAAAAAAAAAAAAGCCACACACCGCAACCACACTCCCTGTTGAGCGAGTTACAGCATTCGTCTATTTATTTGTTCAACGTATTAAGCTGTAATGTTACCAGGCCGGTTCCATATTCTGTCCAGGTTGCTCAGCCAATAGAAGGAATGAAAAAAGAGGGAAGCTAACCTCACTTAGCAAGTCACACAGAAACTGTCCAGACAGTTGGGTGTTGTGTGAACACAGCCACGCTGTTGATTTTGTACATTTCACACTGCGGGGGGAACTTGACGCGGAGTTTTCACAGAATTTGAAGGGGGCGTTTATGGGGTCTTGGCATCGGCTGGCATGGAAAATGAAATAAAAGAAAATCTGCAATCCATTATGATGTCTGTTATTACGGTGCGCCGATCCAGAAGAGGCATCCATTGGCAAGCTTTCTGATCGTTTTCTTTTCAAACTTCTGTGCTATCCCATCCAGGTCAGGTGGAAGTTGCCAACAGGAAATTTTGCTTGCAGTTCATGATCAAGCTGGAAGGAAGAAGGGAAGAAAGACCATCATTTTTTGTATGTAAGCTTGTATGAATAGAATAGAATATGATAGAATAGAATAGAATAGAATAGAATAGAATAGAATAGAATAGAATAGAATAGAATAGAATAGAATAGAATAGAATAGAATAGAATAGAATAGAATAGAATAGGAATGAATAGGAATAGGAATAGGAATAGGAATGGAATGGAGTAGCGTAGAGTAGAGTAGAGTAGAGTAGAAAGACAATACAATGGAAGATAGAATAGAACAGAACAGAACAGAGTAGAATAGAAAGACAATAGAATGGAATATAGAAATAATAATAGAATAGAATAGAATAGAATAGAATAGAATAGAATAGAATAGAATAGAATAGAATAGAATAGAATAGAATAGGAATAGGAATGAATAGAAAGGAATGGAATGGAGTGGAGTGGAGTGGAGTGGAGTGGAACGGAACAGAATAGAATAGCGCTGGAAGGGACCTTAGAGGTCTTCTAGTCCAGCCCCCTTCTCAAGCAGGAAAACCTATACCATTTCAGACAAGTGACTGTCCAGCTTCTTACAGCAGTACTGGAAAAAGTAACTTACGACCAGTTTTCACACTTACGACGGTTGCCGCATCCCTGTGGTCACGGGATCAAAATTCGGATGCTTGGCAACCAACTCATATTTACGACGGACATAGTGTCCCCCCCCGGGGTCACATGATCCCCTTTGGCGACCTTCTGACAAGCAAAGTCAATGGGGGGAGGCCGGATTCACTTAACAACCGTGTTACCAACTTAACTGCAGCGATTCACTTAACAACTGTGGCAGGAAAGGTCATAAAATGGGGCAAAACTCATTGAACCACAGTCGGGCTTATCGGCATAAATTTTGGGCTCAACTGTGGTCGTAAGTCGAGGACTCTCTGTACTGTTCCTCACTGACAGACAGAATCTTGCCAAAGGAAAGCAGACAACTTGCATCATTAAACACAGATTCTGGGAACTGTTAGCGAGGCGCCGTCCTCAGCCTCATTCTCATACATTATCTATTCCAGTGGTTCTTAACCTTTTTGAACGAATCGCCCCCTTGAGCCAATGAGGAAGTTGTCATCGCCCCCCTTCCTCAACATAATCTCTCAATCACAACATAGGAAATAATTCTTTAATGTATGCAAACACTTTTTTTTTGTTTTCTTTAAAATTGTCATCAGGACATATCGATGTAAATAATTTATTTCCAGTCTTTTTCCCATACCTCCCATATTCTGGCCAATGGCGCGCCACTGTATGGGTACAGGCTGCTGCGCAACGCGCATGAAGATAAGCGATGCGTCTTCACATATGTATGGCGTTCTGTACTGAAGCTAGCTGGAGGAACATTTGAAAATACAATTCGATTCACTAAGAGCGAGCGATCTGATGTTTTTGTACGACAGATATACAGCCATTCACTGTACGAAAAAGTCTCAAAAGTGTCCCCAAAACTTCTTGCTCCATCGCCCCCATATTGCCCCCTTTTCATTCCATCGCCCCCCTGAAAAATGAAATCGCCTCTTGGGGGGCAATATCGCCCAGGTTAAGAACCACTGATTCTAGACTGCGCTGTCTTTTGTCTTCTGGAAGGCTGGGAATCCCTCCTGGGAATCCAGACCGCATTGCACCACACCTACCACTTAACAAATGCCTTTATAGGGAAGGTTTTGCTCGGAAAAGCGGGACATAAATTCCAGAAAAGGCGATTACCCTTTTGGGCAACGTCTTATTATAGCAATAGCAATAGTTACTTGGACTTTATATACCGCTTCTGTTGGGGAGGAAACCAATCCTCCCCCAGCCCCTTCCAGATGTTTTGTAAAGCCTTACCCACTTTAGCATTGCCTGACGGACGGACAGATCCGCGATGTTTAAAGGAGTGCTGAATCTCACCGACAGGATGAAATGGTTCCTGGCTGCAGGGATCAAACACAGATTAAAAAAAATAATAATACAGGTAGTCCTTGACTTATAACGATCTGCAATCGCCTCTTGGGGGGCAATATCGCCCAGGTTAAGAACCACTGATTCTAGACTGCGCTGTCTTTTGTCTTCTGGAAGGCTGGGAATCCCTCCTGGGAATCCAGACCGCATTGCACCACACCTACCACTTAACAAATGCCTTTATAGGGAAGGTTTTGCTCGGAAAAGCGGGACATAAATTCCAGAAAAGGCGATTACCCTTTTGGGCAACGTCTTATTATAGCAATAGCAATAGTTACTTGGACTTTATATACCGCTTCTGTTGGGGAGGAAACCAATCCTCCCCCAGCCCCTTCCAGATGTTTTGTAAAGCCTTACCCACTTTAGCATGGGTGACTTTGGGCCAATCACCAGGTGACGGTGAGTTCTAGCCCCGCCTTAGGAATGAAAGCCGTCTGGGTGATTTTGGCCAATCACCAGGAAACGGTGAGTTCTAGTCCCGCCTTAGGAATGAAAGCCGCCTGGGTGACCTTGAGCCAATCACCAGGTGACGGTGAGTTCTAGTCCCGCCTTAGACATGAAAGCTATCTGGGTGATTTTTGGCCAATCACCAGGAGATTGAGAGTTCTAGTCCCGCCTTAGGAATGAAAGCTGACTGGGTGACTTTGAGCCAATCACCAGGAGACGGTGAGTTCTAGTCCCGCCTTAGGAATGAAAGCCGCCTGGGTGACCTCGGGCCAATCACCAGGTGACGGTGAGTTCTAGTCCCGCCTTAGACATGAAAGCTGTCTGGGTGATTTTTGGCCAATCACCAGGAGACGGTGAATTCTAGTCCTGCCTTAGCCATGAAAGCCACCTGGTTACTTTGGGCCTGACACTCTATCTCAACCCAACTCACCCCACAGGGTTGTTGTTGAGGGGAAGATAGAAGGAGGAAGGACTATTAGGTACGTTCGCCACTTGGAGTGATTTATAAAAAACAATAAACGTGGATAAAAATAAATAAAAGCCAAGAAAAAGCAATTATTTGTATATTTTCACAGATTTTCTTCATATCTGAATGACACCGGTTGGGTTAAATTAATATAACAAGCCTATGTCCACTATTCATTTACAGATATATTCACGAAGGCAGATCTGGGGTTTCCAGCCTCATGCATTTCATACTATGCTCCTTAGTCCAGGGGTCTGCAACCTTGAGCACTTTAAGACTTGTGGACTTCAGCTCCCAGAATTCCTCAGCCAGCTATGTCTTAAAGTCCTCAAGGTTGCAGACCCCTTGCCTTAGTCAACCTTGGATGACCTTGCAAAGCTAAGCTGAGTCAGGCCTGGTCATCCCCGGGGATGGGAGGCTAACAGGATATCCCAAACCGATTGACCCCCCTACAGGAACTCCCTGATGAAAACGGAAACATGCATGGAAAAAAGTGTGCCGACACCAGAGGAGGAAAAAAGAGCCGACAAATTGAGTCTGAGAGAGACTGGATCAGCATAACCAAAAATTATAGGAATGTCGAGCCACAAGATAGAAAAATGTCGCTTGCACACCACACATGAGTTCTGTTTAGGATGGAGGCCCGTTTTGCCTTTTTTTTTTTGCTTCCCGAAATACTTGAGTGTTATTTCTGAGAAAGGAAACAAAGCATGGAACTAAGAAGAAGAAGAAAAAAAAAGAACTGGGCGGAAAGCAGAGTCAATTATTAAGTTTCCCCAGGCCTCCAGTGCTCCAGTTCAGTGGCCAGGCCATGTGACTGGAGCCCAGACATGGAGGCGGCAAAATAGCTCTGCCTGGCCAGAAGATACATATATAAAAACATATAAAGAACGGCTGCTGGAATTGGGTATGTCTAGTTTAACGAAGAGAAGGACGAGGGGGGACAGGATAGCAGTCTTCCAGTATCTCAGGGGCTGCCCCAAAGAAGAGGGAGTCAAGCTATTCTTCAAAGCGCCTGAAAGCAGGACAAGAAGCATCGGATGGGAAATAATCAAGGAGAGAAGCAACCTGGAACTAAGGAGAAACTTCCTGACAGCGAGAACAATTAACCAGCGGAACAACCTGCCTCCAGAAGCGGTGAATGCTCCAACACTGGAAGTTTTTAAGAACAGACTGGACAGCCATTTGTCTGAAGCGGTATAGGGTTTCCTGCCTGAGCAGGGGGTTGGACCAGATGACCTCCAAGGTCCCTTCCAACTCTTTTCTGTTCTCCAAAGCACCAGAAGGCCGTTCAAGAAGCAACAGAGGGAAACTAACCAAGGAGAGAAACAACCTGGAACTAAGGAGAAATTTCCTGACAGTGGAACTACCTGCCTCCAGAAGTTGTGAACACTCCAACACTGGAAGTTTTTAAGAAGAGAGTGGACAGCCATTTGTCTGAAATGATACAGGGTTTCCTAATTGAAATGCTTGTTTTCAATTTTGCTTTGGGATACTGTCTCACATACTCTGTCTGGAGCACATCTGGATTCTCCTTGGGAACTTAATGTCACATTATTGTTATGCTGGTCTGCGATCAAGCTACAAAATTAGGGAGAGGAGGAGAACGAAAAGAGATGGGAGGCAGCACCCCCCCCTCAGCCTGGCCTTTCCAGATAAATTAAGCGGTATATAAGTCTTAAATGCTATTGCTATCTGAGCCATGCAGGCGCAGCGCTGAGAATGCAGTATTGCAGGCTGACTCTGCCCACAGTCAGACGTTCGATTCTCAACCGCTCAAGGTCGACTCAGCCTTCCATCCATCTGAGGTCAATAAAATGAGGACCCAGATTGTTGGGGGGGCAAGATGCCGACTCGGTAAACTGCTTAGAGAAGAGGTCCCCAACCTTTTGGGCACCAGGGACCAGTTGCGTGGAGAAAGGTTTTTTTCACGGACCGGAGGGTGTGTGTTTTTGTGTTCTGCTTGTATCCCACACATGGGGCTTTGCTTGTTTGTGCGGACCGGTTGCTGGCATGCCGCAGACCGGTACTGGTGCACGGACCAGGGGTTGGGGACCCCTGGCTTAGAGAGAGCTATGAAGCACTGTGAAGTGGCATATAAGTTTAAATCAGTGGTTCTCCACCTGTGGGTCGGGACCCCATTTGGGGTCGAACGACCATTTCACGGGGGTCGCCAAACAACGCAGTCCGCCATTTTTCCCCCCTTTTCCTTAGCTGTGCTACTCCCTTTTATTCTATTGGCTTTTGAAAGCCAATAGAATAGACTCTCTTGAATAGAATCTAATTGTATTGGCTTTCAAAAGCCAATAGGAATTGTCCAGGCTGTCTCTGCCCTGCTGAGCCCGCCAAAAGCCCCATTCGGCAAACGGAGCTGCATCAGTTGAGTAGTCCTCGATTTACGACCGGTTGAGTAGTCCTCAACTTACAACCGGTTGGGGGTCGCGGCATTAAAAAGGTTGAGAACCACTGCTCTAACTATTGCTATCTAAGCTGTGGAGGCGCAGTGGTGAGAATGCAGCATTGCAAGCTAACTCTGCCCACCGCCAGCAGTTCGATCTTGACTGGCTCAAGGTTGACTCAGCCTTCCGTCCTTCCCAGGTCGGTAAAATGGTTGGGGACCAAAGTAAAGGTAAAAAAAGGGGGGGGGGAACAACTCACCCCCCCCCTTCCAACTCAGAGGCAGTGCCATTTCTGACTTGCAAAATTATGGACGGGTCCTCGACCGCACTCCACCCTCCACGGAGCAGCCCCGGTTCCTTGTCCGCGCGAGAAGGAGGGAGGGCTCTAAGCATTTCCACGCGGAGAGAAGTTGACTGGGCCTCCTTTCCAGCGTGGACGCCCACCCACCCACCCAAAACAAACAAAGGAAAACCACAGCAAACTTCTTCCCGGCGCAGCCCAACGTTTTTGGGACAAAGCCCAACTCCTCCCGCGCCGCGCACCTGGGAGCCAGAGCGCCCGGAGGGGGCAGCAGATCCCAACCCGCTCCCAGGCCCGCCCCCTCCCGAATGGAGACCCAGCCTCTCAGCCTCCGGGCCGCCCCCCCGCCCCCCAGGACCCGGGGGAGGGTGGGGGAGCCGCGTTCGCAGGAGATCCTCCCCCCAAGTTCTCGGGCTTCGCGGGCCAGGGCAGAGGGGGGGTCCAGGGCAGAGGGGGATCCAGGCCAGAGGGGGGGTCCCTAAGCCCAGGGCAGAGGGGGTCCAGGGCAGAGGGGGGATCCAGGGCAGAGGGGGGGGTCCCTAAGCCAGGACAGAGGGGGGATCTAGGGCAAAGGGGGGGTCCCTAACCCCAGCACAGAGGGGATCGGACAAGAGGGAGGTCTCAGGGCAGAGGGGGAGTCCCTAAGCCCAGGACAGAGGGGGAACTAAGGCAAAAGGGGGGGAGGTCCCAGGCAAAGGGGGGTCCTAACCCCAGACAGAGGGATCCAGGGCAGAGGGAGGGTCTCAGGGCAGAGGGGGCGTCCCTAAAGCCAGGACAGAGGGGGGAATCATCTAGGGCAAAGGAGGGGGGTCCCCAGGCAAAGGGGCGGTCCCTAACCCCAGCACAGAGGGAGATCCAGTGCAGAGGGAGGGTCTCAGGGACCAGAGGGGGCGTCCCTAAGCCCAGGGACAGAATGGGGGATCTAGGGCAAAAGGGGGAGTACCAGGGCCAAGGGGGTCCCTAACCCAGCACAGAGGGATCCGGCGAGGGAGGGTCTCAGGGCAGAGGGGGGTCCCTAAGCCCAGGACAGAGGGGGGATCTAGGGCAAAGGGGGGGGTCCCAGGGCAAAGGGGGGTCCCTAACCCCAGCACAGAGGGGATCCAGGGCAGAGGGAGGGTCTCAGGGCAGAGGGGGGTCCCTAAGCCCAGGACAGAGGGGGGATCTAGGGCAAAGGGGGGGGTCCCAGGGCAAAGGGGGGTCCCTAACCCCAGCACAGAGGGGATCCAGGGCAGAGGGAGGGTCTCAGGGCAGAGGGGGGTCCCTAAGCCCAGGACAGAGGGGGGATCTAGGGCAAAGGGGGGGGTCCCAGGGCAAAGGGGGGTCCCTAACCCCAGCACAGAGGGGATCCAGGGCAGAGGGAGGGTCTCAGGGCAGAGGGGGGGTCCCTAAGCCCAGGACAGAGGGGGGATCTAGGGCAAAGGGGGGACTTCCAGGGCAGAGGGGGGGTCCCAGGGCAGAGGGGGTCCCTAAACCTAGGGCAGAGGGGGGGGTCCCTTCCTCCCCTCCTTCCCTCCCTCCCCTCCGCCGCCCCCCCCGATCCCTAACCCGTCCCCTCGCCGCCTTCCCCCGCCCTCGGAGCGAGCCCAGGACGCGCGGGAGACCCCAGACCCGCAGCCGAAGCCCCCTCCACCTCCTCGGCCGCAGCCCGCCCCTCCGCCGAGCGCAGGCCCTGGTCGAGCGGCCGAGCCAGCCGCGGCTCCCCGGCCCACTTACCCGCCTTGGCGGAGCGAGGCACCGCCGCCCGCTTGCCGGTCTGCTGGCCTGGCACGGCTCGGCTCGGCTCGGCTCGGCTGGCAGCGGAAACCGGGGCAGGGCAGGCGGCGCCGGGACGGGCAGGCGGGGAGGGGCGGGGGGCGGGCGGTCCTTCCCCCCCTTCCCGCCCCCGGGAGCCAACCCAGCTGCGCGCAGGGCTCGGCCCCTCCCCGCTCCCGGCTGAGTCCCGGGCTGGCTGCGCTCTCGCCTTCGCGGGCTCCCGCCTCCTTCCCGGGCTCCCGTGAGGTCAACCGCTCGGTCCCTCGCTCTTCGGGGGCTCGACCGCGGAGCTTAGCAGCTCCCCAGGCCGGCGGGAAGATAGGGTGGCCGCGATGTCCAGGCGGAGACCCTAGAGAGGAGAGGAAAAATGATGATCCAAGACCTGGAGGCCAAAACATACGAAGAACGGCTGCTGGGATTGGGTAGGTCTAGTTTAATAAAGAGAAGGACGAGGGGGGACATGATAGCAGTCTTCCAGTATCTCAGGGGCTGCCCCAAAGAAGAGGCAGTCAAGTTATTCTCCAAAGCACCAGAAGGCAGGACAAGAAACAACGGTTGGAAACTCATCAAGGAGAGAAGCAACCTGGAATCGAGGAGGGATTTCCTAACAGTGAGGACAGTTAACCCATGGAACAGCTTGCCACCAGAAATCGTGGGCGCTCCATCCCTGGAGGCTTTTAAGAAGAGACTGGACAGCCCTTTGTCTGAGATGGGATAGGTTCTCCTGGTTGAGCAGGGGGCTGGACTAGAAGACCTCCAAGGTCCCTTCCAGCTCTATTCTACTGATGATTAGGGAGCTGGAGGCCAAAACAGAGGAAGAAGGGTTGCAGGAATTGGGTGTGTCTAGTTTAACAAAGAGAAGGACGAGGGGGGACAGGATAGCAGTCTTCCAGTATCTCAGAGGCTACCCCAAAGAAGAGGGGGGGGGTCAAGCTATTCTCCAAAGCACCAGAAGGAAAGACAAGAAGCAACGGATGGAAACCGACCAAGGAGAGAATCAACCAAGAACTAAGGAGAAACTTCCTGACAGTGAGAACAATTAACCAGTGGAACCACCTGCCTCCAGAAGCGGTGGATGCTCCAACACTGGAAGTCTTTAAGAAGAAACTGGACAGCCATTTGCCTGAAAGTGGATGTTTGATGGTATTACAGATCTCTTCGCAGGATGGAAGCAGTTCCTAGTAAGGCTGCCTTTTGCAATTGACTAATAGCGAATTTGTCAATGCCAATGGTTTTCAAGTGGTGCTCCAGTTTTGGGATTGCACCCAAGGAGCCTATCACTATTGGTACTACCCTTGCTTGCTTTTGCCACAGTCTTTCTATTTCTAATTGTAGGTCTTTGTATTTTGTTATCTTCTCCAGTTCTTTCTTGTCTGTTCTGCTGTCTCCAGGCATTGCCACATCCACTATCCAGACTTTTTTGTCTTTCTTATCGACAATTGTTGTTGTTGTTGTTGTTGTTGTTGTTATTATTATTATTATTATTATTATTATTATTATTATTATTATTATTCCTCCAGTGATGGAGCAGACACAACGTCTGGTGGCAAGCTGTTCCACTGGTTGATTGTTCTCACTGTCAGGAAGTTCCTCCTTCGTTCTAGCTTGCTTCTCTCCCTGTTCAGTTTCCATCCTGTTGCTTCTTGAAATCTTCCTTTAATTCAGCCGACTGGTGTCATCAGCAGATCCGAGGCTGCTGACTTTATTTTTGTATTTTTGCACTTTCCAACTTAGCCTTCCTGGGGGTACAGCCTGCTCTTCAGTTAAATCAATCACTCACGCTCTAGAAAGCAGAGATGAAGTATAAAATCGTCTCTATAGATCGGGCAAACAGGAAGAAATGAACAGAATGAAATTGGAAGACCGGAAATCTAAAAGTCCTCATTTAGAAAAAGGAGAAGCCTCATTTGTGGAAATAATTTTGTGCCCGCCAAAGTGGGTGGATCCAGTTTCCCAGGCCTGGGCCAAATTTGATTTAAACCAGAAATAGGACTTGCTTTGTTCCATAGGGTGGTTCCCAGATAATTGCTAAGAGCTACGCTCGAAAAAGGTCTTCTGCAGTCACGCCAGAAGCCTAAGACTGAAAATCAGGCTCCTCAGATGCTGTTTTGTCTATCCTGCTCTATGGAATAGAGAGTTGGTCTCTGACAGAAGGCCACCCAAAGAGACTAGAAGCATTTGAAATGTGGATTTACGGGCGGCTGTTACGTAGAAGCTGGGTTGACAAGATCAGAAATGAGGAGGGGATCAGCTGCCTGAGAAAGCCGAGGGAAATCATCAAAACAATTAAAAAACGAAAATTAGAATATTTCAGACATGTGACGCAACACCCAGAAAAATACAACCTATTCCATTTAATCCTCCAGGGAAAGATCGAAGGCAAACAAGGTCCAGGCAGAAGAAGAACATCGTGGCTTCCAAATCTAAGGGACTGGTTTGGACAAAACTCAGCAGCCCTTTTTCGTGCGGCGGCTGATAAAAACAGGATCGCCAACGTCCGATAACAGATATGGCCCAAGAAGAAGACGAGAACGCTGGGTACTCCTTTGAGGCAAAAAGCCAAAATATACAGGTAGTCCTTGACTTAAGGCCAGTTGCTTAGCAACCGTTCAAACTTATGACAAGCCTCCCCAGAGCTATTTGTGACCCAGTTTCAAAGTTCTGAGGGCTGACCCTCCCCCTCCACCCCAAGGTCATGTGACCACATTTTGGGCTGCATTTACAGGATCCCATGTATGTTTTGTTGTTTTGCTGGAAACCGGTGTTTATTTCTGGTTGCAGGCAAAAAAAAAAAACCCAGAAAAAAACCAAAATGCCCATTGGCTACTACAGTGGTTTTGCTTAATGACTGCAATGTTTCCTTAGCAACTGTGGTATTGACTTAACAACCCTTGCAGAGAAGATGGTAAAATTGGGCACGGTCCTATAATGACCCACGTAACATCTGGCACAATTTACCAGCATAATTCCAGGCTCCATTACGATCATACGTTGAGGGCTGTCTGAACATGGAAAATCTGAAAAGGAAGAGCAGAGAGAAGTGTATTTATTCATGTGTGTGTGTGTGTGTGTTTTCTGAGGTTTTCGCAGGTGTTTGTATGTAGGTCTTTGGTTATTCGGGTTTTCTCCCACGTAAAATTGGAGGTGTCTTGGCAACGTTTCGACGAAGTCCCATTCGTCATCTTCAGGCTAGTGTTTTCAGCTTTGTGCTTCGTGCTCCTCGAAGCACGAAGCTGAAAACACCAGCCTGAAGATGACGAATGGGACTTCGTCGAAACGTTGCCAAGACACCTCCAATTTTACGTGGGAGAAAACCCGAATAACCAAAGACCTACATACATACATACATACATACATACATACATACATACATACATATATATGCTTTTTAGAATCGGCCGTTTTTTTTTCCTGTTCTCGAGGCAACTTACAGGCAGGATCTTCCCTGCCTTTCATTCCTCACCAACAACCCTGTGAGGTAGGCTGGCAGAAAATGAAGAGTTCCAGGTCATAGCACGAGTTCTTTGGTCCAATGGGACTTGAACTTGGGTTTCTCTAGAGCAGGAGGTCTTCAAACCTGGCCCTTTTATGACTCGTGGACTTCCAGAATTCCTCAGCCAGCCTGGCTCAGCTTGGAAACCTCTCTTTCCCCTCAGCGTGCCTGGCTGAGGAATTCTGGGAGTTGAAGTCCACAAGCCAAGGGTTCTTCAAACTTGGCCCTTTTATGACTCGTGGACTTCAACTCCCAGAATCCTTCAGCCAGCATGACAGCTTGGAAACCTCTCCCTTTCCCCTCAGCGTGCCTGGCTGAGGAATTCTGGGTGTTGAAGTCCACGAGTCATAAAAGGGCCGAGTTTGAAGACCCCCACCCTGCTGTAGACCCAGCCTGAGTGCACAGAATGGTCCCATGACCTTCTCTGGAGACCCTGGTTGAGGGGCTGCGAGCACACGTGTGTAACAGGCATTACACCTTCTCCTACTGGGGCAGTCCCCGACTTACAATAGTTTGTTTATTGACATTTGTGTGGATTCACAGTCATGAAACTGTGACCTCTGGTTTGTCTAACAACCCCTCTCTAACTCTCGGAGCTTTGGATTGGATTTTGACTATTCCGCACGCTCCTATTCAAAGCAAAACCACAGGCAAGTGGTGGTTTTTTTTTTTTTTAAGAGACTGTTTTTGTTTGCATTCCTTGTCTGTTGTCATCTCCTCAACCTTGAGAAAGCTGCCCTTCCATCACAGCAACTGTGTGTACAAGTGTATAAACCAGGACAGAATCCATTAAATAATCGGCTAAGCCCACTCAGAGCCTTTATTTATTTAGATAATTTATGTCCAGCCTGATTTGGCAAATTCCAAGCAGCTCGTATAAAAATCCTAAATATAAAAAAATATAATAAGAACCATCGATTGCAGCAATCAGCATCACCTAACTATCCCTTCAAGCCCAAACAGCATTTATTACCTTCCCAAATTATACCGTAATTATCCTGATGGCAGTCAAGTCTTATTCTGTACGTCTTGCAGCCACAAATAATTTTGCAGTGGTTTGTGTTGTTGTTCGTTTTTTTTTTTTTTTTAGCTAGATCTGGAGTTGTTAACATCGTGGATAACTGCTAGCTTGGGGTGATCCTCTTTCATTTCCAGATTAAATTTATTCATTACCCTGCTGACCTGGACGAAGGCTGTCTGAAGTTGTCTGAAGGTTGAATCCTTGCAACTGGGGTAATTTTTAAAATTCAGCCTTCAGACAACTTCAGCCAACCTTCAGCCAAGGCTTCCTAGGTGATTGAGAATCTCCATCAACATTTTGCTGACCTGGATGTTGAGTTCGCATAGATTTTGGCCTGCACAAATTGGCATCTGTTCCGATTATGGAGGATCGTTTTTCAGTCACTGCAGCCGGAGAATACGGACAACTGCCTACTTTGATTCCTGTCCACATGGCTTTTGAATCCAGTTGATCCAGATTAAAAACCTGTTACTTATCACCTGAGGAAATAATGCCTAACTTCCTTAAAGAGGGTGTCATGCAGCTGCTTCAGAAGAAAGCAGCCTTGGTCCATAATTCATGGTCAACTATACTTTATCTGTCCATGTGTCCACTTAAGAATTTAGAGTAGAGTAGAGTAGAGTAGAGTAGAGTAGAGTAGAGTAGAGTAGAGTAGGAATAGAATAGAATAGAATAGAATAGAATAGAATAGAATAGAATAGAATAGAATAGAATAGAATAGAATAGAACAGAACAGAATAGAAGCTGGAAGGGACCTTGGGAGGTCTATACCCTATACCTATACACTTTCAGAGAGGTGACTGTCCAGTCTCTTCTTAAAAACCTCCAGTGATGGAGCACCCACGATTTCTGGTGGCCAGCTGTTCCACTGGTTGATTGTCCTCAATGTCAGGCAGTTTCTCCTTAATTCCAGGTTGCTTCTCTCTTTGGTCAGTTTCCAACCATTGTTTATTGTCCTTCCCTCTGGTGCTTTGGAGAATAACGTGACCCCCCCCCTCTTCTTTGTGGCAGTCTCTCAGATACTGGAACGCTGCTATTTCTTCTCCTCTTTAGACTAGCCAAACCCAAGTCCTGCAGCTGTTCTTCGTGCGTTTTGGTCTCCAGGTCTTGAATCATCTTAGATGCTCTTCTCTGAATTTGAAGAGAAGGTATCAATTTCAGTTTGGCTCCCAATGTGAACCCAACAAAACAGCCTTGCTTGCTTTGGCCATGGAATGGATAGGTTTGAATAGAAGTTCTAGTGGACATTTAGTCATTCTTCCTGCTCAGATCAAGAATCCGCTAAAGCAGGTGATGGCGAACCTTTTAAAGACTGAGTGCCCAAACTGAAACCCAAAACCCACTTATGCATCGTTGAGTGCCGGGTGAGTGTGGCCCATTGGGTGGGCATGGCCCATTGGGTGGGCGTGCCTGCGGTGGTAACGGCAGACTGAGTGGGACTAAAAAATTCAATCAATTCCAACTTTGCAAGATCTTTCTTTTTTCCCATGAGAAGTTGAAATTGATTGAACCTTTTTTAATTTTTTTGCACACGGTGGTGGAGGCCTAAAGCGAAAAGGTTTTAAAATGGACACAATCCAGTTCTCACTTAACAAATCAGTTAAATAGGAGTCAGCAGTGTTGTGGCAGCTGCCAAAAAGGCCAACACAGTGCTGGGCTGCATTAACAGAGGGACAGAATCAAGATCACGTGAAGTGTTAATACCACTTTACAAGGCCTTGGTAAGGCCACACTTGGAATGCTGCATCCAGTTTTGGTCACCGCAATGTAAAAAAGATGTTGAGACTCTGGAAAGAGTACAGAGAAGAGCAACAAAGATGATGAGGGGACTGGAGGCTGAAACATACGAAGAACGGTTGCTGGAATTGGGTGTATCTAGTTTAATGAAGAGAAGGACGAGGGGGGACATGATAGCAGTATTCCAATCTCTCAGGGGCTGCCATAAAGAAGAGGGAGTCAAGCTATTCTCCAAAGCGCCTGAAGGCAGGAGAAGAAGCAACAGATGGAAACTAATCAAGGAGAGAAGCAGCCTGGAACTAAGGAGAAACTTCCTGACAGTGAGAACAATTAACCAGTGGAACCACCTGCCTCCAGAAGCTGTGGATGCTCCAACACTGGAAGTTTTTAAGAAGAGACCAGACAGCCATTTGTCTGAAATAATATAGGCCGGTTTCCTGCTTGAGCAGGGGGTTGGACTAGAAGACCTCCAAAGTTAAGGTAACCAATCATCTTCCTTTATCTGTTGTTTCTCGAAAAGTGTCCTCCTACATGTCCTCCTTTTCGATATTTGAAGACTAATCTGTAAATTTACTAATCTGTAAATCTCCGTATTCGATCGATGCCGATCCGTTGCGTGTGATGTGACGTATTTGTATTTGACACGACGATTCGTCAAGGCTCGGTACAGTGCGGCGAGACGCGATTATGAGACGCGTGCGCTCCGCACAGGAGAATTGTTTTGAGAGAGTGCGCCGCGCGCAAGTGGCTTTGTTTACTTCTTACCGAAACACGGCACACACGAACGCATTAGACTCACTTTTTTTTTCTTCAATTTATTTGTGTCCTCCTTCTCCTTGCAAAAAAGTTGGTCACCTTATCCAAGGGCCTTCCAACTTTCCTATTCTGTTCTGTTACAATCTTGCAGGTTACAGTTCCAGTGAAATCTGGATTTCCTCACAAATTTCCCTGCTCTTCCTACATATTTATGATGGGAAAACAGATTATATATTTCTGGTTCAGGCTGCTCTGCTTCCCAAGTCACAGTGAATTACATATTTTGATGGCAGGCGAGTTTACCATAACCTTACCTTGCAAATGTATGAATTCAGGTCAATGGAAAGGGAAGGCAAGCAAGGCTTTATGTTTTTTGTTTTGTTTTTTTTGTGATGGCCACACAATCCTGATTCTTTCTCCTCTTGAGGCACTGCTCTTAGTCCAATTGATTAGCAACCATCTTTCTTATTTGCATCCAAGATTTTGTAACGCAGAGAAGAGCAACAAAGATGATCAGGGGACTGGAGGCTAAAACGTATGAAGAATGGTTGCGGGAATTGGGTATGTCTCATATAGTCCAGGCCATGGTTTTCCCAGTTGCAATGTATGGCTGTGAAAGTTGGACCATAAGAAAGGCTGAGCGCCAAAGAATGGAGGCCTTTGAATTCCGGTGCTGGAGAAGACTCCTGCCAGTCCCCTGGACTGCAAGGCGATCCAACCGGTCAGTCCTGGAGGAGATCAACCCCGACTGCTCTTTAGAAGGCCAGATCCTGAAGATGAAACTCAAGTCCTTTGGCCACCTAATGAGAAGGACTCCCTGGAGAAGGGCCTAATGCTGGGAAAGATTGAGGGCAATAGAAGAAGGGGACGACAGAGAATGAGGTGGCTGGATGGAGTCCCTGAAGCAGTAGGTGTGAACTTAAATGGACTCCAGAAGATGGTAGAGGACAGGAAGGCCCGGAGGAACGTTGTCCATGGGGTCGCGAGGGGTCAGACACGACTTCGCAACTAACAACAACAAGTCTAATGAAGAGAAGGACGAAGGGGGACATGATAGCCGTGTTCCAATATCTCAGGGGCTGCCCCAAAGAAGAGGGAGTCAAGCTCTTCTCCAAAGCACCTGAAGGCAGGACAAGAAGCAACG